ATTCAACAACTCCAGTGATTCACTTAACAACTGTGGCAAGACAAGTTGTAAAATGGGGCAAAACTTGCTTTAAAAATGTCTTGCTTAGCAACAAAAATTTGGGGCCCAATCGTGGTCATAAGTCAAGGACTACTTGTAGTTTCTGTCCTTTCCAGCTTTGCTCCAAATCTTTCCAATTCTAGAATACTCTCCCTGTAGAAACAGAAGTATGATTTTTCACTCCCTAAAACTTAGAAACATTTTTGAGCTATCCTGAGAGTATTCTTATCGCTCTTGGCCTCACAATTCAGAGAACCTTTCCTGAGGTGACCAGCACTCCCTCATCGCTCTTCTTATCCTTACTCTTCTTATCGCTCTTGGCCTCACAATTCAGAGAACCTTTCCTGAGGTGACCAGCACTCCCTCAACTAGCCAAATCAGGAGCAGCATAATAAAATTTGAGCAGAATTGCTGTATAATTGCCCTTTCTCTTCATTCCTATGATCTATGTTCTGCCTTTCCACATCACAATCCTACTGAAGCCATGCACAATTCCAAAAATCAGCCTTACAATTATTCTATATGCTCCAGTGAAATATTCCTATGGGATAATACCATGCAACAGATCTCAGAAGCGTGTTTATTTGAGAATTATCGAGTTTGTAGACTTTGGAAACAAACAAAAAGGGCTTGAAGACACTTGAGAGGTTTGAAACATTTTATGGCTCTAAGTTTACATGAATGAGATTGTTGTAATTAGTCTATCTGAAAGTGCAGAACAATTTTGGCAGTTGATGTGCAGTGCAATATTTAACTATTTATCTTTTCACTTTGTTCACTTACCACAATACTGTTGGTGACAGTCCAATACGTGGCCATTCCCGAAGCACAGAAAATCACAGTAAAACAGAAGAAACACTACAATAAAAAAGAGATCAAAATATCCTTAGTAAGTGCTGCCATTGCTACTTCCAGTACCTTAATTATTTTAACATACAAACTTTAAGAAATAGAAAGGTTGTTCTTCACACCCATAACAGAACAAAAATCTAAGGTAAAGGTAAAGGTACCCCTCGCACATATGTGCTAATTGTTCCCAACTCTAGAGGGCAGTGCTCATCTCCATTTCAAAGCCGAAGAGCCAGGGCTGTCCGAAGATGTCTCCATGGTTATGTGGCTGGCATGACCAAAGTGGTCTCTATTTTTCTACTTGCATTTTTACTCTGCTATGTGACACTAGGGATTTGAACTGTCAAACTGCCGACCTTTCTGATCGACAAGCTTAGTGTTTTAGCCACTAAGCCACTGTGTCCCTAAATAAAAGACAGTATTTATTCTATTTCCCTCAATTAATTTCAAACCTAGAGTACTTAATTGATTTAAATTGAAAGACACGGAGATGTAAGTTTTCCTCTGAGAGCAAATGGATTTTTCTCCCTGCCTCTGAGTGAGTGGATGTCTATTGGAAGCAAGTATTGTTTTGGCTTGAGGTTTCCCTTGTTCTTTTGGTAGATTGGGCCGAAAGAGAGTGACTAGCTCAGTCACCCAGAAAACCTCCATGGCTGGAGAAGAACTTGAATCTGGATCTTCCTTGGTGTCAGTCTAAAAGTCAAAACTTTGCACAGGCTTTCAAGTTTTTTATCTCTCCATTTTTATACATTAAAACAAACAAAAATCTGATAACATAAAAGGATTGTGAGCAACATATGATTAGAAGGACATATATAACTTTTAAAATATTTTTTTTCCTTAGAGGTTCATGCATTTGAACAAAAATGACAAAAGTGGCAGTAAAAGTGACACTGAGTTCAAGTTTTAATCAGCTAATGCTTTCAGTTAAATGAAGTGTAGCAGTTATAGCTTTTGGTTCCAGAAATCATTTCCAACAATGTTCTTCCTAGGTGTTTTCCTATATATTTCTTCCTCAAAACAATCTTCTTTTTTCGTTCAGTGTTTTTGTACAGGACTCCATTTCAGTGGGTTAGGTCATGATTTTCTGAATAAAAGAAAGCAATCACTTTAGTTTCTTATGATATACTTGGTTGGTATAATAGATTGGCAAAATAAAAATGAACAAAATTGATTGATTGAAGGAAAAGCAGGGCAGTTTATTGAATAAATATTATCTCTATGTAGGAAACCCAACAGAGCAAAATCCTGCAGACTGCCAAGCTCTTAAAACTCCTTTTCAGAACTTGGCCAGCTTGTTCAGACCAGATTTTGTTTATACAATCAAGTCCATGCATGCAAAAAAAGGAAATGCCTTTAAAAAAAAAAAGTCTGATTTAAATTTCCATGATAACCAGCTGGAGTCATGAATTGTGAGATCACAGAGATGAAGCAATCTCCTATTCAACAAAATTACAAGCATTACATTGCCAGAATACATTTCAAAATCCGTTTTTCAGCAATATCTTTGTTAAAGCAACATAAGCATCACAAAAAACGAAAATGGAAACCGTTTGTGATTTGTAGTTTTCTTATTTAAAATATAAAATCAGATGGTGACCTGGAAATCTGACTTTGAATTTTTCTGAATAAATACTCATTACAGCCTTGGGTGGACATATTGCAGGTACCCCTTTAGGAGATTTGGGGCTATGTGAAAAATACCCCCTCCCCCCGATATACTTTGGACAATCTCTTATCAAAAATCAAGAAAACACCTTTTCTCCTGAACTTCAAGAAGACTTTGATATTAGGGCTACTCAGAAACACATACAGCTGCTGTCATTGGATGCCTATTTATATTAATTTTATTACCGATGTGTAAATCTATTGGGTTTGATTAGTTACGTAGGATCTAATCTGGGTTGATCACTGGGACCAGAGGTTTGATCCTCCAAGCTTTCAGACTCAATCTGGAGTCCATCGTCAGGAAACTTCTCTTTCAACTGAATGTGACAAAGCATGCTTCCTGGGTGACCAACCCAGATTAGATCCTGGGATACATATATTTGCCTTTATTCGTTGATTAATTATGTTGATTTATTTGACTTGTAGTGACATGTTTTGATTTTTATTGTGAACTAGCTGATAACCCGGTGTTGCCCAAGTATTTATTTATAGGGGGGAAATGTCAGGACCAAATGTAATTTCTAATGTTAGATGTTGGCCAAAAGCTAACATGGGATTGTCAGAAACAGATCATGCCAGACTAATCTTATTGCATTCTTTGACAAAGTGACAAAATTAGTGGACCAGAGGAATGCTGTTGATATAGTTTACTTGGACTCCAGTAAGGCATTTGACAAGGTAGACCATAACCTACTACTAGATAAAGTAGAAGGATGTGGGTTAGACAGCATCACCACCAGATGGATTCGTAACTGGCTGACCAACCGCACTCAACATGTAGTCCTCAATGGATCTGTATCT